TGTTTACTCATATCAAATACCTGAGGCTTTTGCCCACAGCATATGTTATCACTTGAAAACACTGCAACTTTTTGTCCTTGTAAGTTTATGATTTAGAGCATCTACCGATTATGATAGAAGACATGGAACCTGAAGAAGTTAAAGTGGCTTGATCTAATTTTAAGTACTGTAGGGCGGTACTCATGAGTACTGCTGCTCATAGCAGTAGGCCTAAGCTCTACTGCTGCTCTAGGAAGGAAAATAAATACCTCTGTAGAGTGATTAAGGTCTTGCTCAGGTAGGCTGAATCATCCACTGAGGCTGCATAAATATCTGACTGTAGGAAGAGACAAGGGTTATCTTAGGCTTTCAGTTCCTAACTCTGATGTCCAGAGCTGGTAGGATGACTCTAGGCCTTTTTCCAACCAAGATAATACACCCCTGCTCTATCAAAAGAGTCCATCATCTAAGCTCAGAGTCATTTTTAGCAGAGAGCTGATCTGTCAGGGACAGGTGGTATAGCACTGAAACACTGGCAGAAAGGAACAATCTCTTTTAGTATTATCCCAGTATTGGTGTTTAGTTTTAATGTTTTGCTCACACAACAGTTTCAGTAGCCCTATGAATCTCACAAGAGAGGATCCACCAGAAGCTGATCCATTTTCTTAAAAAATTGGAAGAGTATGGATGTGTAAACCAGAAGAGGGATGCTTGATTCCTGTTTTCCTTTGATACCAGGTTGACTTGAAAAGATGAGGCAGAAGAAAAGGTGCTTTAATTTGTGGATAATGGTGTTCGAACATATCATAATTGCTTACAAAATTTTATGCAAGTATAACTTACATCATATGATGTCCATGAGGACCCTCATTTGTTTCCTAAGACATGCAAAATGAATTATGAAATATTTTGTGCACTGTTTTGGAAACTCTGTCTCCATTTTCTGCTACTTTTGCCTTCTTTGCCTTTTATCATATATTTTCATAGTTCTCTTTAATTTTCTGTTTGAATTTTCATTGCTCTTTTTAAATTATCCTCTTAATATATAAGCTAAGTCGTATTATCACAGTAGTAAGTGGTAAGTGAGCAGACTCAAATATTGTTCACGGCTGTTTTTTTCCATGTTTTACTGTGAAATTCCCACACATTTTATTCCTACTAATAAGAATAAAAATAACAATTTCAGTTTAATAGATAATGGCATATTTACTCACTGTAAGTTTTATTGTTGACAAGATGTAAAAACACAAAACTATACCTGATCTCATTTCACTGGGTTCATTGTAGAATGATAGTTATACATGTGTATGCTGGAGGATAAAACTATGCTCAGAAGTTTTTGTCAAAGAGTACTTGGAAGGTAAATGGGCATTAGAGATAAAACTTGTTAACGTCACCTTTATTTATGCCTTGGAATAATCAATAGATGCTAATATCGCATTCTGATTTCTTTCTCTGACTTTTTTAAAAGAAAACTATATTTATGCACAATCCTTATACGTTATGATGGAATACTATCTCCTGATGTAGTATATTTGATTTTTAAACAAAACTTTTGGTCAAAATAAAATTAAAATCTTTAGTAGTATCGATGATTGGATATCTTTAGAAACTACTTTTCACCTAGAGATGAATCAAAACTAACTCTGCTGTTTTGGACAGAACAGAACCAGGGTAGTATCTGCTTTGATTCTGTTTTTTTGTAGCCTTTCATTAGTTCCAACTTTTGCTCCTTAAAAGGAAGGTGAGGGTCCTGACAGAATTTCAGAGTTATCTTGATCCAAAATCAAGCTCCGAAGTTACCTGGCAAATGAGAAGATAAGCAGGCTTTTGCGTTCTCTTGTATTCTTATTTTTAGAGTATCTTGGTGAATGTCAGTGTTCATGGACAGCTTTTAGCTCCCAGCATGAACAGCTGCTTGGACTATGACAGCATGTGCGCAAAATCACTAAAGCGCACAAATGGCACTTAAGCAGCTTCATCTGGTTTGGCTCTTTCTCCTGGCGTGCAGCTTTTTGAGGGTTTCTGTGTGGTCATCTCCCAGTTCTTCACCTGTGCTTTAATTTGTTACAAGTTGCAGAAGCCATGCTGCTCATTTGTGTCTATTCTGCTGTATCCAATCTCAGGCCAAATTAAAAATGGGAGTCAGATAGGCATGCACTACTTTGCTACTGTGTGGCCTACAGCTCTGTTCAGTCCTTGTGTGGACTAGGCTGCCTCTTAATCTGGCAACATCTGGAAACTGCAGTGCCGCTAGTGACAGGTTGCTGTTGGATATCTTAGCGGTTCACACGTAGAGCACTACAGATAAAACAAAGGTGCAACAAAGATAAGAATATGAGAGAAGATCAGAAAATGAAATGAAAATTTTACAAGATATGAAATGTAGTTGTTTAGTATTTTAGCATATTTTATTATTCTTCCTGTCGGAAGTATCTTTGCATTATTGTTGTCTGAGTACTTATTCCATCATTTCTTTGAAAGTATGTGGCGAGATGAAGTATGCTCTCAATTTATAAAGATATATGATATGAGTGTAAAGAGATCCTAGATAGTAGGGTATCACTTTATTTCATATACCGTCTTAAAAAATTCCATACTACAATCATCTTTGGCAATAGCTCACTAGGAGGAAAGTAAACATCTGATTATGAGTAACCTGATTCATGTTTTGTGTGAGAGTGAATGTGTGTGTGAGTGAATTTTAATCTGAATATTGTGTAATTGTGTAAATTCTAACGATTGAAGTCTCCCCTAATTGGGATGAAAACTTTTTTTTTTAATGACTTTTTCACAGTTCAGGGATGTGATTGGTTATGTCATATCTTCTTCACAACTGTGCATTAAATGCTGGGGACAGTCTCGTTGCAGCCAGTCCCCTCACCTGAGCACTGTGACAAGGCAAACCGAATAGCAGGAGACAGACATGACGGCAGACTTGTTGACCCAGGAGGTCCATCTCAGTCCCCTGTTCCATGAGGCTAAATTACCTTTCTGCTGAGATCACCTGTCCATCTTGCAAAATAAACAGCTTATGTTTTTACAGCAGTGTGGTTGTCATCATGTATTTATCCTCCAAAGATAAATGTGGAGTTTTGCAGGATGCAAACATGGGCTGCTCCAATCCAAGGTTTCCAATAGATTTAATCTTTTAATTAATCCTTTAATTGTGCAAACAAACTCATGCAAGCGTATTTTAGCTCATGGATGCATGTAGGAGTTATGGAGAGTATGAAATGACAGTCCCTGATCAAAGTAATACTAGTAATTAAATAAAACGCTGTTTCTTGTCCTCACGTCAAAGAGCTCTTGTTCAATGGCATTTCTTGCTTATTTGTTTGCACGTAGCCAAAGTTACAAGCCTCAAGCTTACTTAATACATGCTGTGGCTGATTAATATTTTCTATGTGTAATCTGTTCTCCTACTTACTACATGGTTGCCTTGCACTTTGAAAACTACCAAAATTTACTAAAATCTGTTTTCTCCTTACAAACCCACTAGATTATATGGGTTATCAAAATCTCATTTTTATGAAATTATATTAATCCCAATATATTAGTATTTAAAATACTCGTCATCCATTCTATATTGCTTGGAACTTAGTGGGTTAAAGATGAATTCTTTTACAGACATTCATGCTCTGTAACTCAGCACTTATTAGCTTGTTTTTCTAAAGGCTGTTCAACGCAATCTTCCAGAAATAGTTCTGTTGAGCCAGTATTACAAGAAGCACGCTATAGGAGTTATTACATTAGACCACAACTGTCATCTTTTTCTTTCACACTGGAAAAATTTGTCACATAATTTGCATTATTTTATACTGCAGAGTTAACAGTAGAATGATTAGATGCAGAACCAATTTAGAAAACTCTGAGTTCATGTCTTGGGCTGTAAAAGACTATTTCTCTCTACAGTGCTTCCATTGAGATTAAATGGAGCAACATACTTTAAAATGAAAAACATTTTCTGTTAACAAGCTATGTTTATTTTAAATGCGAGACTAGGACATTAGCATTGACACTGAAAGATGAAAGTATATGTATGTGGCTTGTAGACCTCAGTTCAGGATTTAAGTAGGTATTTGAATCTTTAAGCTCTGTTGACTTCAACAGAATTTAGGCTTTCATTTAAATTCAAGCATGCTAGAGAAAGGAAAAAAAAAAAAAAGCCTAGATGTAATTTGGTTGAAGTCACTTGAATTGGTCTGAAGATTCTCTTCCTTCAAGTTAAATCAGAAATAGTCACATTGAAATGATGCAAGGTGTTTCACCTTTAGTAGTGTGGAATATTTCATATAAAAATATGTGAGATATATATACACACACATGCAGAGTTTATCTTTTATCTTTTTGGGTGAAAATAACTAATAACCTGCCCTGCCCTGGCCTGATTTAGCACTGCTAAGTACATTTATTCTTGACCCTAGGTATTATTGTGTCCTATGCTAAAGGCAAAATGAAGATCCAAAGTAAGAGTTTGTGTCATTGGAGTATGGCATAGTTAACAATTATTGCTATGAAGTGAATGACAAACACTGGATGTAGCTAACATTTGGACCATTTTGAAATACTTAATTTGAGGAGATAAATATGAAGCGAAGGCGTGAAGTAAAGTGGTCACTTACATGAATAAACAATTGCTGAATTATTAGTCATTTCCTCACATACTCTATCACTAAGATTTTAAGAGTATCTGGTCTGTTCTTAAAATTAATTATTTTGTAACTACATATTATTTTATTTATTGTGAAGCTATTTTTCCAAATACATCATGAGATTTAACTGGCCTAGTTTGTATTGCATAAAATTCTCAAATGTCAGTTTAAAACATTTGTGAACTTATGTTACTTAAGATACCTTGAATTCCTTTCGCTTCACGGGAAGCAAACATGGTACTGCCATACTGTGTGTACGTTTCCTTGAAGTTATTGAGTTATTTAAAATATGAGTTAACTCAAAACAAGAATTTTTTTCTTTTTTGTATTAATGTATTAAGTCTGACAAAAAATATTTTGTTTCAGTGCTTGACTGGTGAGGAAATCTTTGCTCTGCATGGGATACCAAACGACAGTCAAGTATCAAATTCAAGCTTCTCCACAATATGCCCTGCTGTTTTACAACAGCTCATTTTTCACCCGTGTCATCATCAGGAAGACTTTGTGGACACGTCTAAACCACAATCTTTACAAGGTTAGTTAATATCATTTCATTAATACTGGAACAAGAATGGGGTTTCCTCAAATGAATTGTGAGCATTTATCTATAGGTAATAGGAATGTCTTTTGTTTAGGAGGGTATAACTGTAAAGTAGGAGCATAAAATTATCATGGTGTTTCAAGTGAGTGGACTATCTAATCATATATTCTGTCTCTTGACAAAGATCTATTCAAAATGCTTTAGAGAAAAGCTAAAAATCCCTCCAGCAGGATGTTATGGAATAATTTGCCCGTAGAAGGAAGAGCCTTCTGAGCTGTTTTACTGGATAATGGTTTGTGCCCTGAGGCATAGTGACTCCCATTAATAGCTGGTTAATAGTACAAAGGATAGAAGTAGGGAAGGGAAGTCTGTGCAGGTGGTTTGCAGAGGAAAATCAAACTTAGTGGGATGTGCTTGCATGTGGGCATCTCAAGCTAAAATTACCAGAAGACTAAATTAGAGTGGAATTATTTGCAGGTGGGATTCAGGGAAACAAGAGAGCCAGGGGACTATTTTACTGAGGCAAATAACTCAGATTCCTTCCAAACTCTCACTCTTGTCTTCTTGTCATCTTCCATGCCCCCCTGTCTGCACGGAACATTTTCGTAGGGCTAAGCAGCCTTTTTACTTTAATTTAATCTTTCCTCCCATTTTTCTCATTATCATTGCTGTATTTACTGTACACAGAAATGTACAGTTCAGTAAAAAATATGGGACAGGGAAGAAACAGCTGGTTAATGAAATCGTTTGCTGCAAATGTGCAATAGCCTACTTACTTGACTTACTATTTCAAATTAATTCATCGTTCCCAGGGACTCAACTGAAATAAATTTAAAAGTTGGAATGTCAGATGAGCCGAGATCTACAATTTCACATTTCTGAATAGGAATTACATTAACTAAACAGATCTGAAAACGTAGCCCATTCTACTAGAAGGATCAAGGGCCTAGATGTTTAACTGCTTTAGTAAGTGTTTGATGGATCTTATTCTTACCTTTCACCTTCTCTTTCTTCTCCTTTTGTGACTGCAGATAATTTTCACTCATGAATTCAGACCATTTAAGCTTACAAGCTAGAGAAAACTTCCATACTCTTACTGACGGCTATGAGATGCTAATGGGTGGTAAGAGTTGTCACAATAGTAATGAAATAGAATGTGTAGTGTTAAGCAGGAAGCAGTGGTAATTCATGCCACTCATGTACCCTTTTTCAACTGATTTCCTGTACTCTGCTGATGGAAGTCTTCAATGCCTGTATAGCCGTTGATTGTGTAGATTTTAGAAAGAGAAAATGGTTTTCGCAGTCACCATCATTCATCTGCTCAGGCCAAAGGCAGCTGCATAAGGAAATAAGCTTCAGTTTTGTGTTAGATCAGATAATTAGTGCACTGAACTGAATAGGCAGACATGGAAGTGTTAATATATTGGAATTCAATTAGTTTTATATCACCCTGATTTTACATAACCTATATAACCTAGAATAAAATAACACACCTAGTATTGCTAATTACGCACAATTCTCATTGCTTAATCAATGACCTCTCTTAATCTCAAGCTTTTTAAAAGGTGCTTAATTAGAGTTGGAAGTACTTGCATTGGAAAATGTTGACTATTGTCTGTAGGTGTTGTCTGTATTTTGTTCAGAAAAGGTCTGCTCAGATAATATATCAGAAGCCCCACATCTTTATCTGCTCTAATTCATTTAACTCCAAGCTAGACTTAATACAGGAAACTGAGCAGCAGCCCAACGTGTATCTTGGTCTTGGATGCAGATGGAATATTCTGTGCTGATGTCCTTCAGGTTAAGGCTAAGCCAAAACCAACTATGAGCTGTGTTAAACGATAAAGAAGACTTTTAGTCGGCTGGTTGTTCAGGTACAGACCAACATAGCCATGTTAGCCTCTTTGTCACTGACTGTGGATCCTATTCTTGTCACTTTGCTAGCTTGAATAAAAGAATTAGTGGAAGGGCCACAGATTGCTTCTTTCTATTGTATATCTTATTTTGTAACTGTTATTGGCTGAAAAAGCTGTTGCCATTAGACAGTAGCAATCATTATGCTCTAGAGAATTATGCTGTTGATTTCATGAGGCATTTGCCCATCTAATTGGTCTTATTTGGATCCTTTCCTTTGTACATGTGGACTGAGCATAGAAATTCAACACTTCAGAAACTATGGCTCACCCTCATCTGAAAAAATAATAATTACGAATACAGAATACCGGGGATTTGAAAATGTTATTGGCAAAAGGATTAAAAAGTTGTCTCCAGACCTTTTAGTAAGACTTAGGTAGATTTTAGTTTTCTCTTTCCACTGCAGGGTTTTATTTTTCTGTAAACGTAACAGTTGTGGTGTTTACATACAGGCCTGGATCTCTAAAATCACCATGTACCACTGTTGCTTTCTGTACTTTCAGTGACTTTTACTCTATTTTTTTACATTACTCTTACTGTACCAAACTATAAACAGTAGTGTATATTCTGAATACCTTACTTTTATCTGCTTTAGTACTCACATTCTCAAACCTGTTTTAGAAAAAAGCTCACTTTGTGGAGTGGCTGTAGGACATTATTTGATTTAAAAATCAGGGTGGAAGAAGCAAGCAATATGCAGAGTTAGTATAGAAATCAATTTTAAAACCCTTCACCTGATCCTTTGCTCTCTGAATGCCCAAAATGTCTACTGACATCAGAAGAAGTTGTGTATGAACGGGATCCTGTATCAGGCTGATAGTAGTATTTATCAGCAGAGGCACAACAGTGTTTTTTAGTATTGATATCATTATGATTAATATAGTGTGGTAGTATTTATCAAGAACTAGAGATGCTTCTTAAAACCTAGATATGTTTGTAAATAATTACAATTAATTTGATTAATCCTTGAATCCATGGCATCAATTTATCAATCTACCATAATTGTTTTAGGCTGCTTACCCCAAATGAGGGCGCATATGCTCAGGAAGATCGTAATGTCTGCCCAGGAGAGTAGGATTTGTCTGTCTAAGTAGATTGTTTGTGGAAAGTCTGACCCATAGTTGACCTCCTAAGCCATTTAGACCATCCCTCCTATTTTTCTTTTATCCTGCTAGCTCAGAAGCAATGTCCAGTAGCCAGATAAGCGAGGCAGCCTTCTCCCTGCCCCTCCCTTGGCTCCAGTGCAGGAAATCTGTTGAGGCCCTGGTTAGGGTATTTTTAAACCATAGGCTTGTGAGTCTATGATACAGAGTAGTACCTAGTTTGAAGGAGATCCACAGAGAGGTCCACTAATGCAGAAGTGTCTGTCTGTTGATCCCTCCCTACCCCTTCACAAACCAAAACTGTACTTTGAGACCAGCTGATTTCAATTACTGGCCCTCTGATGCAAAATCCTCTCTGCATGTTTCCAGCTCTGCTTATGTGAATGTTGTGCCCAGAGACTGGACTCCCATGCACTTAAGAATATCTTGACTTCCAAAATATGAATAGACAAGACATAAAGAACAAATCAGTACAATAGGCTTTACAGAGCAGCTACTTGCAATAAAAAGGTTTAAAAAAAAAAAAAAGAAGTACTGCAGAAGCAGAGTAAAAGTTAAAAGGCAGCATACAGCATGTTCATTTTCCTTAGGGTTTGTATATCAAATATCTAACCTAGCTGACCTTAGGGACACACTCGTGCCCTTCCCTTTCTTGCTCCTCTGAAAGCTATAGGGTATAGAGCTGCGTTACATAGCTGGTAAGGCCCACTGGTATTCCTTCTGTCCAAGGCAAACAGAAATGTTTTCACACCCCAAACCTCCCTTCGCCTCAGGACTAGGCTCATGGGGAGCCTGCCTCAGGAAGGCCCAGAGCAGTGGCCCTTTTTATGGAGCAACGCTGAGCAATGATGTTTGGAGGAGAACGTCATACTTGTTTTTCTGCTGTTTTATATTTTGAATTTCTCATGGCTGTGGGCATTTTGGCAGCCTCTTTCTTGGGGCCGCTTTTCCAGGGAAAGAAAGAATAATGGTCGTTGGCCAAAGCTGTCTGTGCCGCCAGTTACTGGGGAAGAGACTTGTATGTCCTAGGAAGAATACTCTGCTCGGATGCATGAAGTCAGACTAGTCAGCTAGCCGGGCTGTCAGGCTACTCAGGAACAGTTTAGTCTGAATGAAGTCTGAGTGGAGAAAACCACTTTTAAGAGAGTGGGGTATACACGACATTGTGAAACACAGTGCCGACTACAGTAACTTTGATAACATTGATTATCTCATAGTTTTCTAACTTGTTCTGCGGCTTATGGCAGTTTTTGTGAAGTACCTGTTCCTGTAACTGTTTAATTATGGGATAAACACGTTTTCTTTCCAATTATGCTTCAGGTCCCTATGAACTCAAAGAAGAGTATGCCACAAGGCCCAAGCATACTTTCCTGGAGAACGTATAAGAAAAATATGAGATTTTTTTTTTCTTTAAAAATTTCATTAGCTTTAAATTAGGCTTATTGCAGGATTTGTGGAATGCCTTGGATAGATAATACTTAATTTATTCTTTCTTTCCTTATTGGATGCTATTTGATCACTTATTTTAATTGTTCATCATTCTTTAGCCATTTGAGGTGAGTAAAATAGAAATAAAATATCTATATATAAAAATCCCGTGAGCTTTGGGCCATCAAGATCTGGGCCAGAATTTTAAAAATAAAATGCCATCTGTCCTTCACCCCAACATCTGGTAAAATAGGAAGAAGAACGGCTTTTACTTTTAAATTTTTTGTGATGAAAGAGGATACTACTACTCTATGTCCCTAGTTGCAAACAAAAACCCTGTAGTACATTGAGATATTTACCATAGCGTTAAGCATATACAATGATGATAATTGTATCCTTTATAATATATATTTCAAGTTGTGTCCCAGTAATATTTTTATTCTGAACAAGGAGTATCAGCCTGAATATCAGATGATTCATTAATAAAGCATCTACTGGAGTGAGAGCTACACTTGGCAATAACATCTTCTTTTTATATTTACTTTTAACTTCCATTAACTTATTATTTTCATCTTCTAAAATAGTACATATATGTGTGGGAATTTATCCTATTTGTCTTTTGTTGTAAAAAGTAGTTAGTACTAGCTTGGTTTTTTTTTATCACAGTTATTGAAATTTGTTCTGATTTGCTATGTGTGCTGAAGTACTTAGTGTACTCTCCCAAATTACTTTACATGTGGTAAATAGCTTTTATATTTTGTTAATTCAGTTTAAAATGTGTATTGTGCTGGAATAATGGGGTAGGAGTTGACTGTATGCTAAGCAGAAAGAGATTCTTGCTTTTGTAGTAATCCCTAACTGTGCAAACCACCACTTGTGACTCATGATGACACTGGAACCCCATTTGATTATCATAGACCTGATTTCACGAAGATATTTACAAGCTTAATTGCCATTTATTTTAACATGGGGGAAATAAATATACAGGAAATAAAGCTCCTATATAGCTTAATGAATCTAGCCGTATCCAGTCATCTCTCTGCCTCTCTCAAAAAAGACAAGTGAACATTGTAATTGGCATTGACTTACCTTTTGCAAATTTTTTAAATGTTTCTAATGCTTTCTATTCTTGAGATCATGTAAAATCCTTTACATATGAAGATTGTGACACTGTGCAAACAAAGTGTACTTATCCTGGCTGCAGGTCAGGAATTTGGTATAGTTTATTTGCTGCATTATGATGCAGGAAAATTGGGCTATAGACCCATAACCTGATCTATTTGTATCTGTTTCTGCTATGCAGAGAAGAATTTATACTAACTTCTCTATACCATTATATTGATGCAACTTTCTGGATTATAACAAACTGTTCTCATGTGCCCAGCGTTGTGTTGGCTTTGATTATTTGTGGAAGATTTTATAGACAGATCCACTGTCTATGTAGATAATTCTGTAGTTCTATGGCATCGCTTTAGACAGTGTTGTAGATCTGTTCAGTGCAACCTTTCAGGCTTTTCTGTGTGCTCACAAGGGCTTGAGAGGTAACTGAGGGGAAAAAATTGGCATGCATAGAGACAAAACTTGCTGATGCTTATGATCAACAACAAAACCCTGATACTCTATAATTCATACTCCAGAATAATCATGGCATGGTTTTGTACAGTCTGAATTCTGAAAATTTGAGGCTATCCTTATAACGCAAGGAGCTAAGCTATGGTCAACCCTGATGCATTTGCCAATTTTTAGAAAAGGTTTTCCTCATTTTGTTCAAAAATAATTTCTGCGTCTTTTTGAATGTAGCACCTCTTTCTCATGTACTTTTGTCTCTCTGTCATGTTTGCCTGTAATATCAGCTCTCTGCTATTTTACCTGTTAGATAAGCAGTGATATAATTGTGATAGGCAGAATTTCCAGTAAGCAGAAGTACTTGAACAACTGCGGGAGAGTTGGGAACAGAAAGTTACCACCCCATGGTGATTTGTAGCAGTCATCTTTATCAAGGGTGACTGCTGAGTGTAGTACAGCCAAGAGAGCAGGCTTTATCTGTTGGAGTTCTGTAGTGGTAAATGACAGTCGGATCTAAACCTGGAACTAGTAACAAATTGCATCTTGAATCTATGCTATAGGTACATTAACTGTTGGTCTAAGCCTTGATTTAAACTCTTCATTGGCTACAGAAAGAGTTGATTTATACTAGCAGCTTTTAGGCTGTCCCAGGAATGTACTAGCATAGTTTGTTTTTAACACGATAGTCCCGGACAATATTTCTTGCACTTCATTTTCCTTCTGTCAGTGGATGTTTATCTTAAATTTCTGTGCGTTTTAACATTTTTCTATTTGTAAAGTCTAATTTCAGCTAAGAGACCATTCTTTTTTCACAGCCCATGAACTGTCAGAAAAATCACAAGCAGCCTGAAGTAGAAATTACACTAAAATGTTTGTTTCTGCTTGTTCATCCGCAGTTTGGGGATTTGGGTTCCTGGCTGTGACTATCATTAACCTGGCATCGCTTCTGGGATTGATTTTAACTCCCCTCTTAAAGAAGTCGTATTTCCCCAAGATTTTAACTTACTTTGTGGGCTTGGCCATTGGTACTCTCTTTTCTAATGCCATTTTCCAGCTCATTCCAGAGGTAAGCAAGGGGAATCGTTATTTGTTTTCCGTACTAGTTTCTAAAGTGTGTTAATTTTAGAGTCATGCTGCAGTGGGGTTCTCATAGCATGGCTGTAGTCAACAAAGAGTTGGAGTTGACCTTCAGTGCAACTGGCCACTCTCACTTACCTTCTGGTTGGATTAGCAGAACTGTCAAGAACCATGTGTAGTTGTAACATGAGAAAGACTGAGGGCTATTCTGCCTCTAGACAGGGAAAGATATGCACTGGGTAAGGTTCTAGTGGACTTCAATGGGCTATAGGTTAGACCTCCATGTTTCGCAATTAATTGGTATGTTCTGCATGTAAAATTCTACTGTATTAAAACACTATTGACATTTAATCCAAATTAAAAAATGTAAGAGGGTTGGGATCTCTGATAATTTCAGGCTCATTGAAACTCAGGGGTGGCAGGGAGATGATCTGTATTTTAGAGGAGTTGGGGGTTGTTTGTTCGTTTGTGTGTTTGTTTTTTGGAAAGGTACTAAGATTATTGACTAATCTCCATTGCTTTTATCTTCACTGGCAGGCATTTGGGTTTGACCCCAAAGTAGATAATTACATTGAGAAAGCAGTTGCAGTGTTTGGTGGATTCTATATTCTCTTCTTTGTGGAAAGGATTCTTAAAGTGATACTGAAGATCTATAATCAGGTAACAAAGGGTGTTTCTAACTGTATGAGCCTCACCTTACTGTTATATTTTATGAAATACTGATAATAAAATGTAGGGATTTTTCATTTTGTCTGAGGATTTCCGCCTTTCAGAAGTGTTCTAGAGTATCTGTTGAAAAACAGTATGGAGAGGGGAAGCAACTTCACTTTTTTAGGCAATTACAAGCAGAGCTGGGAATAGAATGCAGATGATGTGAGTACGATCTCCTGCTGCTGGCATATGATCTAGCTGCTTTCAAGGGCCAAGTCTTCCTCTTGCTAGCTAAACGCGTCAGGAAAAAGCAGAAATGTATAAGAGCTGGAGAGTTCTGCCTCTGGAGCTCCCCCTTAGGCAGGAGAAATCAATGTGACATATATACCTTCTTACTCAATCTGTAAGGTTGAATTGGCTGTGCTGGCATTGCTGAGTCTCACATTTACCTCTGTGTTTCCCCCATGCTCTGGGAGACAGACCTACTTTAGTGACGCTGAAGTTGTGATTACTGCATCGGGCATGGCTTTCTACCCGTGTGTCAGAGTACTTGTTTTCTGGGTGCTCACATGTGTGAGAAGTGTGAGTTTTGTCTCCCAGAAGGACTTCTCAAACTTAGCTTCTGGTCCTCTCTGTTCAGGTCTTGCCAGGAAAACCGTCCTCTGTTCCTTTGCTTGCTCACTTAGGGTCTCCTATCCCAAACCTTTGCTAATATTGAAGATCATGAAGATCAATTTTCCCATGTTTGTAATAACTACACCAAAAAGAAAAAAAAAGAAAATAATGAATTTGTTTCCCTTTATTTTTGGGGACAGCTGAGAAAGAGGCAAATAAGCTCCATTTGACAATCATATTACATTATGAATAACTAGCAAATGTTGTTTGGATCACTCATAGTAAGACATTCAGGTATAAGAATGAAAAATCCTTGTGTATATTCTGATTAACTAAAAGTAAGAGATAAGTTACGAAAACTTAGAGATAAGTTAAGGAGTTAGATAAGTTTGGATTTCAGTCTCCCTGGACTGCTTATTTAAACATTTACAAACTGTGGAAAGCATGGCAGTATGAATATGATGTCGTCTGCTTTTTTTTTTTTTTGGTCTGTATTTTCTTATGCTTGTTATCTTGCTTTTGTTCAATTAGCTGCCTATTTATCTATTTTTCACTCCAGGCTGGCCACAATGACTTTGAAAACAGTGAACAGAATCATCCTCAGGATAAGACTAGTCCACCCAAACCACCAGCATCCAGCAATGGGGTGATGTGTTATGCAAATTCAGCTATTGTGGAGAGCAATGGAAATCTTGGTTTTGACAGCATTAGTGTGCTCTCAGCACAGGTATGAAAACTGGCTGTTTCTTCTTATTTATTTTATTCCTGCTAATCATGTAAGTTTGTCTGGAGGGAGACTAAATATGAACTTCTATTAATTTGGTCAGGTTTTTTTAAACTTTTAGTTTGTAGCTCACTTGAGCCTTATGAAAAATGGTGTTTTTGGCAAAAGTTGGATGATGCATTCGGTTGTTAGCCACCAAAAAGAGCTAGTATATATCAGTGTCGAGATGGGTCAGACATAGATAAATATATAATCAGTTAATTTAGTTAATTATAATTTGTTTTTTTTTGTTTTATTTTGTTTAAAGAATGATAGAGCATTCTAGATGTTGCATGATTCTTGCTGTGTTCCTGTCAACACGAAACCATAAAAGTCTGAGAACCTGGTTCTTCTGAAACAACAATTAATGATAGAAACTGATAGAGTAACTGTGGTACAGTACATTGTGAGTACTGCTTGTGCTAGTCTAGTATATTTGGATATACTGTGAATTATGGAGATAGTATGTGGACACAGCAACCATTCCTCCTGGTTTTAAGTACTTTTCTCTTCTAAGTTTATCCTCTGTGTTTGTTTGTTTTCATACTACATATATGACCTCCTTCTGTCTGAAAAGAAAATAAAAGCAGGAGGAGAAATTTGATATGCTTCTCAACTTTCCTCCCTGTACAGAGAGGAACAGTGCTGCCTCTTATTTAAGAAAGAGAAAATCACATAGAAACAACCATCTGATGGCAAAGGCAGACTTTTCAAAGTTGAGATTTCTATTCTACCACCCATGCTCTTCACTCAGTAGGTGGTTTGAAGGGGTGCTGTAAGAAGCAGAGGAGGAAGCAGGAGGAAGGCCCCAAGAACAGCTGGGAGAGAATCTATCAGTTCTGCATTGACAGTTGCAGGATCATAAGGCATTTGATGTACACAGTTTAAAGTACCAAAATTGTATTTTCAAAAATGTCATGGAGCATGGCAGATAGTGTGGGATACTGGGCACTTTAAAAACTAGGAAAAACATGTTTAGTAATTAAAAATGTATGGACACTAAAAAGGAAATAGTATTATGAGAGCTCCTAAAGTTTTGAGGTCGGTTCTGATCAACAGAGGTTCTGCTGGTACCACAGTGGCAGCTTGTCGATAGGATGAGCTATGGTATGAGCTTAATAAACACTTTGCTGTTCTCTGGAAGCGTGCTGGTGGAGTTGCATGTGGCCCTATTGATTCTTAATATTTTCTTAACTGTAGGGAGCTATGAGCATCCTGTTACATGCATATTTTTTCTTGGGATGGTGAGCTTCAACAGCACAATTACTGTTAGAAATGGCAGCTATTTTTTTCATTTGAATTTATTGGCAAACAGTGCAGCTTAAAAGTGGTTATCTTAAAAATACAATATAACTTTTCTACCTGCTTTCTGACCTGTAATGTTCCCATTTACAATCCCAGTTTTGCAATATAAAGAAATCCCTGCACAGGATGCTGACCTTAGTTAGGTTCTCCAAAACAAATGGAAAGCGAATCCCCTTGCATAAAGGAAGTTACTTCTATATCTGAGGTGTAGGTTGGTCTACTTTTGGGCAAAATTGTCTTTATGAGCCTTTAAAAAGTATAATGTATTGAAAATATAGCAAAATAATTTTTAAAGACTAATTTTGTGATGGGTAAAATATATTAGTACTGTTGTTCATATAGAGCAACAGCAGAGCTCAGCATAAAGCTTCAAATGCACTATCAAATTGCCATGGTTTAATGAGTTAATGAAAGTCAGCTGAGGCATGGTAACTGCTGATGGGCATGTTTTCTGACCATTGTAAAAATTTGTTTAATAGATTTGGTATAGCCTACAAGAAAGTCTTTTAAAATAAATGTAACTTTTTGCTTTTGCAGTGGGCCATTACCATGGCTGAGCTAGCATGCAACGGTAAGGCTGCTGTTAAGCACTAGCCTCCTGTAATGAAAGATCGCAAGACGACCGTGTTCCATGTTGTTCATCTGTCTGTAGTACCACCAAAATTGAAAAAGGTCCTGAAAAGTAATTGTATTTTGTAGATTTAAAACAAAACAAAAAAAACTCACACTCCATTGTGTGAGGAGATAGTCATCTCCAGTGACATAGGTATTGTTTTTCTGATGAGAAGTTTTACTGGACCCATCGCATTACCTTTTTGTAGCAATCTGTTATGAAGCTGAGCCTTACAAGTAACATACACATAATAAAATCATACCCTAAGCATTCTAATTATCAAAGGTAGCTATAGAGTATTTATTTCTAGCAACTACTTGCAGTGTTCATGATCATTAGTTATTGCAGATCACCCCAAGATCATGTTCACAGTACTTTTCCATTTCCTTTTGCATACAGTCTTGTCCTTTATCAACATCTTGGCTTTAAGAACTTAACATTTCATGAAGGTTCTTCTCCACTGCTTATTGTTCTTTTCAAAATTCTTGCCTTCCCTTCTTTATTTCTCTACATTTCTCCAAAACCAGGAAGGGAATGTATTCATCCTCAAATTTCCTGAAAGTAACAAGGTCAGCTTCGCTCCAGAGCCAAGGCTGCAGGGAAGATGACTGAAGAATAAACCACAGTGACAAACAGACTGCTGTTGGTATGGGAGGTAGCAGTGAAAAGCCATCATTACTTTTCCTCCTTCTGGCAGATTGAAAGGGGCCAGCGTAGCCTTCAGAGTCATCAGGGAGCTGGGGAAGGCTGGGATGGCTGGGGAGTGTTGGGGCGGTTAGGAGCTGATGCAGCACAAGTACGTAGGGAAGGCAATCCAAGGGAGAACTGTGCAGACTTGTGAGAAGTGGACACCTGTGGTGTGCTAGCTGGCATTAGCTTGGCGAGGGAGAACGTAGAGTAGAGGGAAAAGGGGAAAGCCAAGGCCCCTTAGCTCGCTGCCTCACAGAAAATCTCTAGGTCCAGCTGATAGGTTTAGGCTACCCTGTTGAAAGAGTTTTCACAAGACCCCAGTTACCAATTACAGCTACTCCACCTCTCGCAGTGCAGAAGCCCTAAAGAATGTGGGCAGCTTGTCTAGAAGAGGCCAGTTAACGCCCTGTCTATATCCCTTTGGAGGAAGCCCGATGCTGGATGTCTTGGATGACAAAGTTGGGGTTTCTGTTAGAGGCAACTGCGGAATTGTATCCAGACGGCAGACTGTTGCGCTTCTCATCTCAGTCTCTGGACTTATATAAACTCTTATGTTCCTGGCCTCAACAGGCTCTTGAAATAATGACTGCTGTATCCATTGGGTTATGCAGAACTGCATTTTCTTCTGTCAGTTTTGAAAGTTTGTCTTCCTGATACCATTCATTACCTTGTATTCTAGCTGCTTCTGTAAATGAACTTCATTCCGATGTATTTTTTTTTGTTTTTTTTTTTTTAATTAAAATGTCATGCCTGCAGTCATTTTCACCATTGTCCCCTGGACCTCTTTTGCTCTGTCTTCTTAGGAAAAAAAGCTTTACCAGAATTTAACACAGCATCTCACACAAGGGAAGACATGAATTTATTTAATAGCCTCATACTAATAGTATTTATCTACTTATTTATTTTACTCCCAGGTGCAGTTAGTGGATTGCTATAGGGAGATTGAGTTTACTTATCTCTGTGTTGACTGTGGTGAATCTGCTTGCTAGAGTTCATGTTTCGCCTTCATGTATGCATGCAGACATCAGCTGCTAAGTTCAGTGTTTCAGAGGCAGCTTATGCATTAAGCTTTACAGGCATTTGATATTTATGAGGCATCCATTTGGCATGGGCTGACATACAAGTAATAGATTTTTAATGCATCCTTGCCATCTAAAACTTATTAGAGAGGGTTAACAGAGTGCAGCCAGAAGAACTCATCAGGTATGGTTTAAAGAGAGAGTTAGGAATCTGATTGTGCTAAAGCACAGCATTTATTTTCGTCTGTGGGGATCCAGTCATCTTTTCTCTTTTAATGCTTGCACAGACTGATCGTCTGAGCACATG